GATAAGTCATCAAGGTCAAAGTTCCCCTTATCAGCATACATTTGTACTGTAATATTCCTCTCAAAGGTTTTCCTATTAGGCCTACCTAATGCATCATGGTCGTAAAGCTACTAGAGAAACCTCACAGGATTAGCTGGTCTTTGAGCGTCATAGTAAATATAGTAGCACTGGGTGCCCTCTCGGTCTTCAATCAAAAGGGACCATATAAGATACATTAATCTCTATGGTGATATAAGACAAAAGTTGTCCTTCTATAGTGATTATTTAGAATGTATAACTACCTACATGTACATAAAGCCTAGCTTCCTGCTCTACAACAAAATAGTAGTGATACTCAGTCAATCGGATGTTCCTTTATAGGGATATCATAAAACCTGAAATGGGGTTGTAAGGATGAACCTTTTATTTTCCTTAACACTCTAAACAATGTACTCAAACAAGTTCACAACAACATACATAACACAAATAAGCAAGCACCTAGCCACTATTAGTGGTTATCTAACAACTCACTCTCAAATGTTCCTACATGGCTTTCTATTACACTTAATCATATTCTTTGCCCCATTTACTGCCACTAAACTTCCTTGGTAATAGTGGTCTTATGCCATATGTGAATGATCGTCAATGGATCAATGCTTCCTATAGATATAATGTGAGCGAATATGAACCTCCTTAGCTAAAAAGTACAATATCAAATTAACATAAAAAATGGAATGTGAGGTTTGTGATTACTCCCGCGTCAAATGAGTGCACCAAATGTTGGGTAGCTCACCACTTTCTAACTCCCCCAAGTCCCGACCTTCTTTCAATTGTACTTTAGGGTATTTCTAGAACTATTCATCTCATGTTTATCATTTACCTCACACTAAACATTGTTAAAATCATAATTCATTCCTTTCTAATTTCATCCATATTTCCCTTGTGGCATAAGTAACCTTACAATCAATATAAAACATTTCTAGCATTATATCACTCATATGCAATTTCAAATATAACTTCCGATGATGATTGCACAACAGCCATGACAACAAACATATGGGATAACAATTGAAATTAAAACATTCCAAAAATTTAACAATCAAATTTCACATCAATAACATAATAATATCCAATCAAACACCTTAACTAGGGATGTAAATAGGACATGCTAGGTCAGACTTTATTTTAAATAGGTCTAGCTTGTAACATAATTATTAAGTTTGAGTCTGACCTGTTACTTGTTAAAGACTTTATTTTCAGTTTGACCTGTCTTATTTAAGTGGCTTAAAGCCTGTTAAAAAAATCTGCTACCAAAAAAAATCTTAATATTAATAAAAATATAATTATTTTATTATCAAATTAGTGTACATATTTTCAAATTTTTATGTGTTATTGATAATTATTAAATAATTGTAATAATTTTTATATAATTTTATAAATAATTTTTAAAATATTATTTCAGCATTAACTATAAATATTTTAATAATATAAAATTTTTATATTTTTATTTTTCTTAATTTAATTTTATAAAATTATTAAATATTTAATTATTTTTTATAATAATAATATTTTATTTGTGTAAAGACATCTTATATTCAATAAATAAAATCACAGTAAACACATAAAAATAATAACAAAAAATAACACTCAAAAAATTTATTGAATCAACTTAAAAAATTATTATATTTAAAAAAGTAAATAAATATCATTATTATAAAATTTGTAGATAAAAAAATTTATATTATAAAATTTATGGATGCAAAAAAATAACATAACATAATAAGAATTAATAAAATTTATATTTAAATTAAAATAACTTATATTTCTAAACTTTTATCTTAATAAAAAAAAATGTGATAAAACTTAATATAAAAATTTAAACTCAATGCACTATATATATAATGACAATAAAAATAACTATTAAATTAAAAAAATAATTATAAAATATTTAATTTTATTTATTTTATTAATTTTTTATTTTAAATTAAAAAATATACGTAAAATTAACTATACTATAACATTAATATAATATAGAAAATATTAGTGATACAATACATTAAAATATATATTTATATATTATATATAAATTGATAAATTAATTAATAAATATAATTTTTTATTTATATTTTTTTGTTTATGTAAATATTTATTAATTATTGAATTTTAAATGTATATTAATAATTATATTTTTTTAAGAAAAAATCTATCTACATTTATGTCAAATTTATTAAAAATAATTATTTAAAATTTGACATATTTATATTTAGGTGTGTGACTATGTGATGTGGACTTGGTTTCTAAAAATTTATACCAATAAAAATACGTAGTAAGTTACATAAGGTATATATTATTATATATAATTTATTTAAAATTATATTATTTATATTATTTACTAAATGATGCTTTTATATATATATATATATATATTGTATATTAAATTTTTTATTTTATTTTTCTATCATTTTTTTATAAAATTTTAGTTTCAAATAAAATATAATTCATGTTTAAATAATTTTTATTTATTATAAAGAAAAAAATAAACATAATATATTAATAAAATAATTAAATATGAATAATAATAAAATTAAGAATATAAAAAATATATTAATATAATATTATTCTTTCATTTTTAAATTTTATGTTATTTAGTTTTGATTGCATCTTGTTCCTATTCAAAGACTTAACCACTCTTTAACTTATTTAAATGTAACAAATATGATTGTTTAGTAGCGGAGCAACATCATAATCTTCTTTCACAACATTTCCAAAATCTAATGTCTCTAGGTAGGATTCTATTCTCATAGCCCAAAGGTCATAGTTTTCATCAAAGATGAGAGCAACATATGAAAATCTTGTTCAATGTCTATTTCACATATCTTGTAAGAAGATAGCTCAAATACTAATTTATAGTACAAAATGAAATGTTGATGACACAATAAAATTTGCTAAAAGAGTTCTTAGATATCTAAAATGTCCACAAATCTTGGATGATATATGAGAAATTGCATGATAGCAAATTAAATGACTATTGTGATAGTGACTAGAGAGTCTATTTGGGTGCTATGAAAAACACCTCCAATTATATATTTTAGCTTGACAAATGTGTGGTTAGTCGGAGTTAAAAAATAAAAAATTGTTGTTAATCATTAGTAAAACAAAATATGTTTCTTACTTAGCAATTGCAAATCAAGTTATATGGATGAGAAAAGTATTGAGTGACATGATACAGATTTAGGAAGAGCTTTACTATCATTTGGTGTGATAATCAATCTTTTATTTCTATGTAAATCAAGTTATTTCTTAAGACATATAATAAAATATTCTTCATAAAATAGTTTCTTCATACTCTCTTTTAAAAATAATAAAAAAATAAACTTAAGGCTATCTTGAGATAAGCTTTTAAGATCAATGATAGATAAAATAAAATACACACAAAAATTGGACATATAATATTTTAAACCTAAACTACTTTAACTTGTTAAATTGATCATTTTGCACTACTTTCTAAGTTTTTCAAATAAACTTTAAAAGCATAACCATTTAGATGTATACATGTCACCTTTAATAATGCAATTTTTACAATATATTTATTTTCCATGCAACTCATGCAAAAATCTTTGATTTTTATAAAGTCTTTTCTTAACATATATTTTAATTATAAGCTTTTTTTTTTTTTAAGACAAACATTCTTTTATAAGATAAAATCTAAATTGATGGCTACAATTTAAGTCTTTAAGAAGATTTTAATAATTTCTACTCAAATAAATAAAATAATATATATATATATATATATATTTGTATGATATTTAAATAATCTTTTAGATTTATATAGTTTACTACAATGGATTATATTAGACATAGATAGTATTTTATATATAAATATTATGTACTAATTAAAATTTTTTTATGACATTCTTTAAATAATATTGTTTTTAACTCATCAAAGATGTGATGTGTATCTAATAGCAAAAAGGTTTAATTACATTTTTAGTCCTTATATTTTAATGTATTTACAATTTTGATTCATTTAGTTTAATTACTCACACTTAATCCTTCTAACATTTTAAACATATAATTTTAGTTTTTCTAATTTTAATTGCTTACATCTAATCTTTTTAATTTTTTAAATGTGTAATTTTAGTGCCTTTAGTTTTAATTGCTCATATTTATTTCCTCTAATTTTTCAAATGTGAAATTTTTATTTTCTAATATTAATTGCTCATATTTAATCCTTCTAGTTTTTTTAAATGTTTAAATTAAATCTTCTATTTAAAAAAATTTATTCAATAATTAATAAAAATATAATACAAATATGATATTTTATTAATTTATACAAATAAGTAAAAATATTTAAATAAAAATTTATAAAATATAATAAAAGTGTTAAAGAAGAACTTAATTTAAATATTTAAAAACATTGGGAGACTAAATTATACGTATCAATTAAAATTAGGGAAATGACACTTAATTAAAATTAGATAAACCAAAATTATATATATAAAAAAATAAAATTATTAAATCTAAGCAATTAAAATTAGAAAGATCAAAATCGTATATTTAAAAAATTAAGAAAACTAAATGTGAGTGATTAAAATTAAAAAAATAAAAATTACATATTTAAAAAACTAAAAATACTAAATATAAATAATTAAAATATAAGGAGCAAAATCACAACAAGACTGATATTTGAGAAATGTGAAAAAATTTATGAAAAATAAAAATATGTAAAGATCAAATAATAATTTTGAAAATTAATCTCAAACGTTGAAATTTTAAAATGTCTAATCAACAAACGAAAATAACTAAACCAAGGATGCAATTGTCCACCAAACCAAACCAAACCCGCTAAAGAAACACCAAAAAATTTACCCGCTGTGCTGACCCGAATCCAATGCACGCGGGTTACACCGTTAACCGTTTGGATCAGCTTACGGAGTCTTGAGACAGAACAGAGTCTCACACACGGTGACGGCGCCTCTCTGTCATACAATATTAATAAATGTTAAGGCCTCGTTCAAACGTGGAAATAGTAGTAAAAGCCATCACAACAACAGAATTCAAGTATTGAACTAAGTCCTCTGTATCTCTCTACCTTCTCTCTCCCAATCAAACCTTCGAGTCAACTCAACACAACCCACAATTTCAATCAAAACTATCTTCAATGGGATCCAGATTTGGGTTTCTCATTCTTCTTCCCATGTTCTTCTTCATCATGTTATTGTTGTTTTTCTCACTTCCTTTCACAGTGGAATCCAAGTGCACAGAGGGTTGTCCACTGGCTCTAGCCTCCTACTTCCTATGGCGAGGCTCAAACCTCACCTACGTTTCACAGATCATGGCGTCGAACGTTCTGACGAGACCCGAAGACATAGTCAGTTACAACAAAGACACGGTTCCAAACAAAGACAGTATCCAAGCCTTGTCGAGAGTCAACGTTCCCTTCCCATGCGACTGCATAAACGGCGAGTTTCTGGGTTACACGTTTAAGTACGATGTTCAGACAGGGGACACGTACGAGACTGTTGCGGGGACCAACTACGCGAACCTCACCAACGTTGCGTGGTTGAGGAGGTTCAACAGTTATCCACCAAATAACATTCCCGACACTGGAACGCTCAACGTTACTGTTAATTGTTCTTGTGGGATGAGTGAGGTTTCGAATTATGGGTTGTTCATTACGTACCCTCTTAGGCCCGGGGAGACTTTAGGGACCGTGGCTTCTTCTGTGGGGCTTGATTCGGCGTTGCTGCAGAGCTACAATCCTAGTGTCAATTTCAATCAAGGGAGTGGCCTCGTTTTCATTCCGGGGAAAGGTGCGTTTTTTGTTTCTTTTTGTTTTTAAAAACTCTCTCACGTTTATGGCTGCAAATGCTTCTGATTATTAAACGAAGAAGCTATTTTAAATATTTTTTATGCTTTCAAGATAGTAAATCTTTGGATTTTTTAATTTAATACTTACTTGGAAGATTATTGAAAGATATTTAGGAAGGTATAGCAAAACTCTATAATTAAACATTAGTCATAGCTTTAAACATCTTAAATTGGTAAATTTTTATTTGAAAAGAAAATATTTATTATATCAAAACTGTATATGTAATATGTATTTTCATGATAAAATTTTTCTTCTTTTCGTTTCTAATTTTGCTAATCATATATATATATATATATTGGTAATAATGTTTGTCATATAGCTCATTTTTTGGCTTGTATGGAGTAGAAAGAAGAGAAAGAAAGCGAAATAATGTGATAGATGATGTGATACTATAGAAAGAGAGAGTGAGAAAAATAAGATGAAAATATGGTAAGTTCAGAAACCATCTTAAATTTGGGCTTAGGCCTAATTGAACCTCAAAAATCGATTTGAAAGATGTTAAATGCTTTAGCTTTTACAAAGTCTTATTTGACTATGTTTGTAGTCGATGTGGACTTCCATGTGTTAAAGGGTGTTTGGGAGCTTGGTTTTGGGTTTTTGAATGTGGAACTTGTTTATGTGCTGGATTGGATGATTTGTTGTGTTTGCTCCGATGGTTTTGGTGGAGTTCTGTACTTGGTTATTGAATTAGTTTTCTGTTTGTTAAAGGGTGTTGGTAACATGGCTCGAGGGCTGGGAATGTTGAACGTGTTTGTGTGCTAGTTTAGATGCTTAATTAAATATCGTGTTTACTCTGAATGTGGAACTTGTTTGGTGGCTTGATTTAATTTCCCAGCAAAAGTTTTTTTTTTCCTGTTTTTATATGATGATTTATTTTAGTGTCTAGATATGAATTCAATGGTTTTCTGTAAAAGGAAAGTTTTAAGTTGCAGTTATTGAAATTGCACAAAATTGCTAATAAATGCAGCTTTAGTTGTTGACACAATTATGGTTGCAGAAACCTTCAACACCATGAATTAGTTTTCTAACTTGCTTAGTAATTGAATTAGTTTTCCACTTGTGCAAAAGGTATATGCAACTTGGTTTTAACTTTGTGTTTATCAAAAGGGTTTGAATATTTGTGTGATAGTTTGGATGCTTTATTATTTCATGTACTGTTTTATGTATTCTCAACGGATTGTGATTGTGACTGAATGATGTTGAAGGGGTTGATAATCATATGCTCCTTGGTTATACTTGAAAAAATGTTGCCTAATCATGATTCACCGAGGGTTTAGGAACAGGCCATGATGTTGTTGACGTTCTTTCTTTTTAATTTTCCTTGGAAGTTGGAAATTGAAACAAAATTAGATGTCTTCTAACTTTCTATATAATTAAGGCTTGTACCTTTGATTTCGTCTGGCAACTTGAATGAAGCATCTATTACTGAAATTGTAACTTTTTCTACCGTATTATGTGGTTAAAATTCATTGAAACCCATGGATTGCTAACAAACATCATGTGTATAGCTGTACTTTGAACATTTACCATGTACTACAAATTCCAAATGTGCTTCTAACTTCCCTCTTTCAATTTTTTTTCCAGATCAAAATGGTAGCTATGTGTTTTTATCATCCAGGTAAGCTTCTATTTTTGCAATCTGCTCATATGGTTGCTTTATTTTTCAATCTCCAATAAATTGACTAAATCCAATGACTGTAATTTCATTTTCTTATGCAGTTCAGGAGGTTTGAGTTTCTTCTCAAAAAATTGGTTACACCACGTTTTCTTCGATATTCGTATTAAACACATGGTCAGCATATACTAAAAGTAGAAGGATGATGCTACTTTGAGCTCATATTTTTGCTTCTATTTAAGCAGGTCTTGCTGGTGGGGCTGTTGCAGGAATAGCTGTTGGAGTTGTGGTAGGCCTTTTGTTCTTGGGAGTTTGTATATATGTTGGATATTTCCGGAAAAAGAAGATACAAAAGGAGGAACTTCTTCCACAAGAGTCCAGTGCACTTTTTGCTCAAAATGGGAAGGGTATTGTTTTTTTACTTATACTCCTTCCAACACCTTCCTTTACCCAGCCCTTTCGATTGGGTGATTAATACAGTGCTGAGAAGTATACCTAATTTAATAGTTCTCTTGTAGAACTATTACATATAAGATCTAACTCAAATAACCTCATTTGCCCTTTTAATTGTAGATTACATATCTTAGTTCTAATAAAAAGATAGCCATTGTACTTAGAGAGTCCAAGACGTTATAAACTCCACATTAGAATTCCATACTTCCAATGTGGGACTTAAGTTTCATACCTTACAATTGGATCCTAACATTCCACCATGCTCTGCAGCCCCAATGTCCATGGTTGTGCACTAACTCCTTGGACAAGTGTTGGGCAGACACTGCAATGCCGGTGTCACCACCCGCACCGCTCATATGCAGCTAGAAGATGTGGCTAAAGGTTTTGATACCAACTGATAAAAACCTTGGGAGAACCACACCACAAAAGATGGCTATTATAGATGGAAAGCCCATGACTTTATAAACATGACCACATTAGAATCCTTTACTTTCAATGTGAGATTCGAATTTCATACCTTGCAATTGTATCCTAACACTCTACCACTTTTAGTTGGACTATCTTCCATTTGAATTATTTTTCTCATTGTAGCATCTTTTGGTCTTCTCCCACAAATGAACCACATCTTGGAGTCTATATAAGATTTTTCTCAATAGGTGGTACTTTGACTTTCTCCCAAGTACATTTGTTATTAATCTCATATTTTCACATCCCAATCTTCAACACAACAATCTGATCTGGATCTTTACTACTTTTTGGCTCTTGTTGGAACCCTGCCCAACTTTCACTGCCTCTAGCTCTTACATGTTTCAAAATGTTGAAGTTCATGATTTGGTGCTTTATTTTTCAGATGAAACTTCTCGTAGTTCTGGAAATGAAACTGCAGGAGCTGGTGGTCCTGCTGCTATGACAGGCATAGCAGTGGAAAAATCATTGGAGTTCTCATATGAAGAACTGGCAACTGCCACAAATAACTTTAATATGGCTAATAAAATTGGTCAAGGTGGTTTTGGCGCTGTCTATTATGCAGAGCTGAGAGGAGAGGTTAGTAATCACATTTATAACTGCCTGTTATTATAAATTTTCTGAAGAAAAAATTGTTTTAGGAGTTTATCGTCGTTGATTCATTAAGGTTCTGTATTTTTGGCTTATTGTAAGTTGAATGAAGACAAATTAGAATAGAAGATTATAGAATAACTTTTATGGATACTATGTGAAATTCTATCAAATATGAAAAGCTATTTGGCAATATAATTGAAACACTACATGGAAAGAAAACAGGTTAGGCTGAAAACCTTGATATTTCATGATTGATCATGTTGGGATCAGTAAATTATTTTTGCCATATTGGGAGGGACTGGAGATGATAATATTTTCACCATGATATGTATGGGTGGATGGGCTAAAAGAATATCATTGTTCTATATGTTATTATCATAACATCATTTCTTGGTTGTTTGAGATATATTATTTTTTAAGCTGAGCTAGAAAATTCTTGAGAGGAAGGGTTGAAAGCTGGTTCAAAATGGTTTTATAATGATGTTTTAGGAGATTTGATCAACTAAACTGGAAGAGAAAATGAAGGAAATATCAAAACAATTTGATCAACCGAAAATCCTTGCCTGAAAGTTGAGATTATTGTAAAACAGATTTCCTTTGTTTTGAATTACAGCAGAATGCATTTTGGTTGTTGAACAAATCTATATTCTCACATTACATAATGCTGGATAATGCCATAATGATGGATTGGAGTATGTCTGTTCTTAAGAGTCATTTATCTTGTTTTTAGAATCAATATCAATATAATTATATAAGCCAATAATTTTGCCCATGCAGAAAGCTGCAATCAAGAAGATGGATATGCAAGCATCTAAAGAATTTCTTGCCGAATTGAAAGTCTTGACACGTGTTCATCATCTTAACCTGGTACTAATTCTTTAAAACTTCAAGCATATTTAAAAATTAATGTTTTGCTCCTATTGAATTACAAGTCTGTACGTGCAGATTTATGCTGAGAGCATTTTTTGTAATTAGCTTGGACACAAAGTTGGGGTTTGGATTTACTAATTTTGAGATAAGCATAGCATCTGGAGTTTATTAGATTTGAAAATAGTAGTTAACTGTTTGAGAATTGTTACTTGTCAGTGGTGGTGAATGCTTTCTATTATCTTTTGTTTCTATTTGTTATTGGATCCATCTAGAAATCTGATTTAGTTCAAGTTGCTTCAATTTCAATTTTTATTCTTTAGCCTTAATTTTATTTCTCTATTGATATTATGTCATAATAGCAATACAAGATAGTTTTATGTGCTTGATAAAAGCTTTTAACAGTACTTCTGCGGTTCTGACAGGAATCCAGATAATATTGCCTCTGCTTCTTTACATTTTCCTTCTAAGCTTTCTCCGTCCTTGCAAATATTTTATTCCTATTGCTTAAATTTTGATCTCGGGCCTAATTCAACTCCAAAACTTAGCTTGCACGGTGAAGATTGCTCAAGATTAGACATCTAGAACATGGAAATTATAGGATTGATTTTGTTATTTTTTTTGTATTGGGAAAGCAACGGGATCATGTAGGTTGCATTGGGAAAGCTGAGGGACAAGATAGATTACACTAGAAAATCCACAAAATCAGGTTCATTACACTGAAAAAATTTGTCAGACATGTTTTTTTATTTTTTTTTTCAGCTAAGGGTGGCATAATATTAGCTAACTTAACTCAACCCCAAAAGTTAACTTATAAGGTGAGGATTGTTGTAACCTATATAAGTTTAATCATAGTCATATGACTCATATCAATAGTCAATATAGAACTTCAGCACACTTTCTCACGCTCAATATTAGACATTTGTAGTGTGAAAGCCACAAAACCAGGTAGGTTGGCCCGGCAAATCTAGAGGGTCAGGTTAATTGAACTAGAAAAATCCGCGAGGCCTTTTGTTTTAGTCAAGGGTAGTATAATATTAGATCTACAATAGGCTTTGATACCATCTTCAGTTTTAAGTTTTTGCCTAATGCAACTCTAAAAGTTAGCTTGTAAGTTGAGTATTGGTTTATCGGTTTAACCTTTATTAGTTCTTATTTGGCTATACCTGTAATCAATGTGGGACTTGAACACTGTCCAATTTTATATGAATTTAATTTAATGCATACCCTTTGTTTGTTTCCATTACCTGAAAAAGTTCTTTGTAGATATCAGTCTCAGACTTGAATAGCATAATGATTCGTGAATATTAGTAATACTGATAAAGGCACCAGTAGCTTGTTGTCGAATTTAAATGTATTTTGTTATATTCGTTTATTCAATGGAAGAAACCGACTGTTATTATCTTGCAAAGCTAATTATTAGGATTAAGGATTCAACTAGCTTTATGATAGATACTGGTTCAGTTAGTTAGGGAATTAATTAGCAGGCTTAAATAGCTTATGTTAGAGATAATAAGAAGTTAGAAAAATTGTCATTAGTTACGAGTTAGTTAAAATTAATTAGAAATACCTTTCTTATATAAACCTTTAGATAAACACATTTGTAATAACTTCATCTTCTATAGAAAAATACAATTTACTTGATTTTCTCCCAGATTCTCCTTTTTCTTGGGCTCTACCATGTTTGTCAACTGTTTAAGCAAGGCATGTTGCCCAATAAGAGGGGAGGTGGAAGAGAGATAATTGTCAATTGTACGAGTGAGGCCTTTGGCTTGGGAGGTGCAGTGGCAGTCCCTCGAAGAATTGGTGAGTGTGTGTGTTCTATTTTGTAAATTGGAGAGTGTTCAATGGGCAAGTGTACCCGTCGAGAAGTAATAAAAGATTCTTAAATTATTGTTTTTCAATTACTAAAAATTTTCTGATTCAATTGTTTGAACTTCAAAGATGAGATTAAAATAAGAATTTATAAAATCAATTATAAAACTAAGAATACGGAATACAATGCACATCTTGATTAAACTTATCGGAAAGGAACCTAGGGCATATATGTTTCTCATTCAATTCTTTATATTATTTTTCTATTTAATTTTAAATTCAATTTCTTTGTGATTACCAATCATTCATACAATTATTATTAATATTCAATGTTCATGTAATATTAATATTTTTTTTTTAAATTAACATCTCTAATGATCATGCAAAACGTCAAAGAAAGCATAAAACACCTATGAACTTGTTAATTTAATAACAATTAAAAGAGAAAGATTGGTTTGTTCCACCTAATTCTTTATCTCGTTTTATCTTATAGATCTATTAACTAATCGAAATAGGTCACCTGACGATATAATTAATTAAAATTATACAATCATGCGCAATAAGATAAACACTAGTCACTTACGAAAATCAAACAGATTCAAACTTTAAAATCCCATAAATTCATAAACAATAGTTCCCATAGCTTTAGTTATAGACTTAATTACTCATGCTAAACGAAAGAAATAAAATAATCAAGAACAAAGTCATAGAGAAAAGCAAACTAGAATGAGATAAGTTCCCGATCTTCAAGTACGGTCGCTCGAAGCTCCTAGTTCTGTTAAGAGTATGTTAGAGATCCCGTGTAAGAGAGGTGAGATGAGAGGTGTATTAAGGAACAAAAGACAAGATGATCAATAAGATGCTTGAAGTCTCTCTTTTATAGAGTTTGAAAACTTTAAAAGTTTTTCATAATTGGGCTTACCTCAGATGAACACAGCTGTACAAGGCCATAAGCACAGTTGTGCATGGGCTCGAAGCACCCCGCTTGTTGAGAGAGTCTGAGCATGTTAACTGTTGCGAAGCTTTGATTTTCCATCAATTTAGGTCCAAAACGCACTCAAAATCCACTTGTACTCTCTTTATACTAAACTGCACAATTAACATATAAATTAGTATGAAACTCAAATAAAATAAAGGTCAAACATAAATATATGGCCAGTAAATGAGAGTCTAAATGCAGACTTATCAAGGAGTTTTTCCTTGTCTTTCCTAATAAAGATACCAGATTTCTATCTTTCAAAAATGGGGAGAACATCCAATCTTTATTACTGATAAAATGCCCATTGACCAGCATAATGGTGATATGAAGCCAGAGATCATGAATGTACAATAGAAATGAATCCCATCCCTACAGTCCAACACTCCTGCTATTCAAGAAACCTACTTTCCATTCTCAAACCAAAATCTCCTCTTTTATTTCCTTCCCACTATTATTTATGCCGTGTCACCTCTTCCTTTCTAGCTAACTATCTACATATTACGGCCAACTAACGTCATTTAAAGATATTGCTGAAATTCACCACATGATCAAGCCATAGCCCATCTATCTCATTCTGTCTTTCAGACAAAAGAGAAGCATGCACCTACATTTTGTTTAAATTGTATCAACGGATTGGTATTGGAATCTAAAATTTCAATTAAAGCTTATGCGCACAAGATGTTGCAACCAATATACAGTGCTTGGCAGTTTTCTCTGTTTACAATTAAATTTTTGAGCAACTAGCTCTTGATATATATTGCTGGGAGAACTTCTGTCACATTCTTGTTTATTACTTTTGTATGTTATCTGTTTATAAAGTGCATAAAGACGCTGAACATGCTTCATTATATTTAAATTCTTACATCTTAGTTTGTGTATGCCTTAAACTGTTGACCATACAGGTGCGCTTGATCGGATATAGTATTGAGGGTTCTCTTTTCCTTGTCTATGAATACATTGAGAATGGAAACTTAAGTCAACATCTACGTGGTTCAGGTTATATTAGCCCATAGTTCAGTTTTTATTTACCTATGATGTGATGTGATTGTCCTGAGTTGACAGTGAAGTAATAATGGTGCCAGGTAGAGATCCACTGCCATGGGCTACTCGGGTGCAGATTGCTTTGGATTCTGCCAGAGGTCTTGAATATATTCATGAGCATACAGTGCCTGTATATATTCATCGTGACATAAAGTCAGCAAATATATTGATAGACAGAAACTTCCGGGGAAAGGTTGAATATATTTTTATATCTAATCTTTACTTTTATTATATGAATTACTATGAGAGCTCATAAATAGCTCTTACACACAGGTTGCAGATTTTGGATTGACCAAACTCACAGAAGTTGGAAGCTCGTCACTTCCCACCGGTCGTCTTGTTGGAACATTTGGATACATGCCACCAGAGTATGAATTTTATTTTTATTATATAGAATGTTACTATTCATATTTCACCTTTAATCAAATTTATTTCCAAGTTTACTAGTTACTTTTTTTATGATAATAAAAATGATTGCAGCCATTGCAGTTAGCAACTATGTTATTAGGACTCCCAAAAGAAGGAAAACATTATCCTGTGGCTGACTTTGCTACCAAACTTAAACATGTAGTAGTTGTTCTGGAAACTTTTACTGGATAATATAATAAAACTCAGTTCAAAATAATATTTAGTAAGGTTAACTGATGTCATATGTTCCTAACAGTCTTGAAATTGGTGAATGCATATTATACTACAAAACATGCACTTAACATGACCAAGAAGACCTGCCTTAGATAGAATAAAATTGAACTAAAATCATTAATTTGATGTTTTGGTGCATATCATATATAGTGATGATAAAATCTCTTGGCCTCTTCCATTGGGGGATTGTGTTTTAAGTGCACACAGTTCTGTTTATTTGTTTTCTTTAAGTTGTAATCTAAGATTTTCTTGCATTGGAATTCTGTTAAGAAATAAGTTCACTTTTGTTTATATGTGGATTTATTTGTTGATTTCCACGGTTCTGTCTGTAGGTATGCTCAATATGGAGATGTTTCTCCCAAAGTTGATGTGTATGCTTTTGGAGTTGTTCTTTATGAACTTATTTCAGCTAAGGAAGCAATTGTCAAGACAAGTGAATCTGATGCTGACTCAAAGGGGCTCGTAGCTTTGGTCAATCCTGATTTCTCTACTCTAGAATTTTTATTATTCTAGTCATTGTTAATATTTTCAAATCATCCATCATCATGCTTCTTCATCAATCCAAATCATAGTATTAATTTCTTCTGTTTTCATTATATGGCAGTTTGAAGGAGTTCTCAGTCAGCCTGATCCCACAGAAGGCCTTTGCAAACTAGTGGATCCGAGGCTTGGTGATAATTACCCTATTGATTCAGTACGCAAGGTGAGAAAATTTGTTAGAGTAACTCTTTGAACATTTGCTTTTATGATTGCAACATTAATCAACCTATGCATGCTCACTGTTTTGGCTGGCAGATGGCACAACTGGCCAAAGCATGTACACAGGACAATCCTCAACTGCGTCCAAGTATGAGATCCATTGTGGTCGCTCTTATGACATTGTCTTCAACTACTGATGACTGGGATGTTGGATCCTTCTACGAAAATCAAAATCTTGTGAATCTTATGTCAGGAAGATAGGATGATAATGAAAGAATTATTTCGCATTCACAAATATACGTTTTGGACCAATTTCAGGGAACACAGCAATTGTTGAAGCAAATTATGTGTAAAATGGATGTAGCAATGACGGATTTGTACATTTTACTAGTCAGGAATCACTAGAAAGGGAGGAGAGTTAACATTTTTATGATAATTCACAACCACTGTACACAGTATGCTACTGTTTGAGAGATGCATCTTTTTCTTCCCAGGTATATATATTCTTGTAAGTTTGTATAATAAGCTCTATTCCAGGCCTCTTCGATTATTTTTAATGTTTTATGGGTGTTATCCTTGCAAATGAAGTACTTTTGGTTACATACTATGCATTTCATAATTGATCACATTTGTATAGAAATCAGAACCTAATTTGAGAAACAAATTTGATGGAGAGCAGTTTAACTTAAATACAGCACCTGAGTTTTACTGTTCTGTAAATAAGGCAATTTGCAAGAGTACTGATGCATCAAGAAGGGATAGTATTAAGGTTATTCTGTGGGTAGTATTAAGGCTATCCTTGAAGTAGGTTGACCAAGCAAAATGAATTGTCAACAAAATAGAGCTACTTAGGGTGCATTGCAATAATATGGAACTTTTTGAACAAGGCCTTGAGTGTTAAATTCTTCTGTGAATATCTTCATCTATTTATGCAATTATGAGAAGTGTCGGTGAAATTTTTTATCTCTCTCTATCTTCTTATTACGTCAAATCACTTGTTATATATATAAGAGTGCTAATAATATATTTTTTAATATACTTTTTTTAATACACTCTTAATTATCGGCCAAAGTTTATTGAATATTACAAAAATATGAGTAAAGATTATTAAATTAGAAGTAGAATTATTAAATTAACATTAAAGTCCTCATATTTTTTGTATTTTTAATAAATTTTTGCCAATAATTTAAAGTCTGTTAGAGAGTTTGTAGTTAACAATTTTCATAGGACAAGCTTAGTTAGATATATGCAATTTACTAATCAAAATTAGTTTTACCTTAGTAATATTCGATAACATTAAATATAAATTATTTATTAAAATATAATTTTAATTTTGATTAGTAAACAACACTTATAAAACAATATAATGTTTTTTAATTGTTGGTAAAGAATTTTTGTCCTTTCTTATATATTTATCACTTTCCTACACACTTTTCTTATCATTTTTCTTTCGTCAAAGAGATGTCCATGAACATAATAAATTTCTTTCATAAGAATTATTACATGTCATTTTTATAATTTTGAATTTTAAATCTTTCTTTATTACTTCATTTTTTATCAACTTTTTATTTAGTTCATCGATATATTTCTTAACCTTTTATATCCCTAATCCTTTAATTTTGATTGTTTTGATATTTGAATAGTTATTTCTTTTTTCAACAAGTAAGAATAATAAATAGTTATATATATATATATATATATATATATATATATAGACACATTAATAGATTGCTCTAATGTGTATCCAAGGGCACACAATAAAAACTTGTTTTTAGTATTCTCTCTATCTCATATTTAGTTGTTATTTGAGTTATTTTATTTGTCTCAAAATATGTCATTTTAAAATGTCCAGAAATCATTTATTACCTTTTTTTTCAATAATACTCTTATTTATTACGAATAATTTTTGAGAACTAATAACTAAAATAACTTTAAGATTAATTATCAGTTAACTACTGCAATAACTTCATTGCTTTTTTATGATGTGTACGTTAGTATTAAGTGAGAACTAATATGAGATAGAGAACAAATTTTTATTGAAAATCACATGATATCCTTTAATTCAATGAATTAATAACCTTAAATTTATAATTTTTAATAAAAAAAACATTGTTTATATATTGATTTCTTATCATGTGTCATTGGGCACATGTTATATAAATTGTTTATAAAAATATAATATTTTGTGAACTTTTTATTTTGTTTAAGTTTTTTAATATATATAAAATGAATTAATACTTCATTGTATTACTTTATTTTAATATATCAAAATATAAATAGATATTAAACATTGGATACACACATAAAATATTTAAATTATATGAAATTTGATAAAAAAAAAATTGACTGTGAAAGTAAAATTATATGATTCAACAATTGAATTTATAAATCTTGTTTTTTATATAAAATCATTAAATGATGTAAATGTGTAAATTTAACACCTAATGTCAATAGATCTTGACTTTATTTATTTGTTTAATTACTATTTAATAAAATTTGAGAAATATAAACAATAATGTAAACAAATCAATTTATTTAAGTCCAATTAATTATAAAGTCCGATCATCAAGTGAAAAATAGTTTAATTTTAAAGGATAATGATCCAAAAAGATGATAAAATTTGTCATGGTAGGATAAAAATAATATGTTTTGTTGCAATGCCCCAGATTTTGTAATAATATCTTAATTATTAATATGAATGTGTGAATTGTTATATGTTTATGTATTTGATTTATATAATGATGATGTACGTGATGATGTGAATATAAGTATATATACGTGTGATAATGTGTCTGGATATATGAATATGGGTATATGAGCATGAGTGTGAATGTTGATTCTGTATTGAGAATATCTAACTTGTGGTGGTTAGGATTGAGTAAGGAGAATAGGCTAAGTGTGAACTGCAAAGGCATTCTCGCTGTAGCGAGAGTGTCCTGGGCGAAAAGGGTGCATCTGTCGCGTTCTAGCTGTAGCAGAGGGCAACAGAGAGAGGGTATTTTTTGGGTGCAATCTCACTGTAACGAGAGAGGGTGTCGTTGTAGCGAGGTCGCAACCAGAAGAGTATTTGAGGGGTTTAGGATTTGGAAAATTTATTTTCCACTTCTCCCTTCGAGCTCTCTCTTTGTTCTCTCGATTTCCAACTCATTCTTACCGATTAAATTACCTCTAAAGCCGTTTGGAAACTAGATTGAAGGTTGGAATCACGTTTGGAGCATTTGGAGGTAAGTTTGAAAGTTAGGATTTATGTTTTTCCATCCTTTGTCGATTCTTTCCGATTTCTCATGAAATTCCTCCATGTATTTAGGCCAAAATACTGCGTGAGAGACGTTTTTCTACCAATAAATTATGTTGGGTCTTCGATCCGAGGTAAGGGGGGACTCTACCCTATCTTATTTTGCTTGGAAATCCATTTAATTGCTATATGTTATAATGTGGTTGAGATAGGACATAAGAACGTGTGTTTTGATGGATTTTCGTGCTGGATATGACGTATTAAATGTCGGTTGATATTATGTGTGAGAAAATGGTTTGATTGTGATTGGGTTATAATAGGAACCTTGTGTAGAATGTAAATATGATTGATGTTGTGTATGAGGCATGATGAACTGACTTGATAGTGTTGAAATTAGGATAGAAATGGTGTGGTTGGATATCATGTGGTTGAACATGGGTTGACATGCCTCGATTGTGAATGTGAGTGAATGTGTGTGTGAGCATGTCATCGATTGATGCTGAATAATTTGAATGGTTAGAAATGTGTGTGAATAGCATATTAGATGTGATTGTGATGATGTTTGAAATGATTGGAAATTATGAATGGTTCAACGATATACTGGAGGTGTGAAAGATAGAGACGGTAGAAATACCTTGGGGAAGAGAGGGCGGTAGTGACACTAACAGTAAGCGTGGATGCACCACAGGTCACACACTCTTCTCATGACTCGACCTCTGAATAACACCTTTGCTTGAGGGTCAAGTGCCACAGACGTTGTATTCGTGGAGCGGGGGCTATCCGGCAACCATCCATAGTGTGAAACTGAGTAAATCCATGAGGTTTAGGGTATCAAGAATCTGTGATCATAGTGTCACAGTGAATGTAGCTACGTGCAGTGAACGCACATGTGGGTAAATTGATTGATGATACAATGAGCACACCTGTTTGTGAATTGAAATGGAATATTGAATATATATTATTTTACATTTGTTTGATATGTAATTTGAATAATGTTAGAAAAGTGTATAGTGCGTGAGGTGAGTCTCTGTGCCTGTGTGTGATAGTGTAGAGTATTTACCTTTACATTTATTTTTTAGATGACCAAGACGATTAGCATTAGGTTCAATGAAGAGATGGATGAAACTGGTATAGCACTTAAAAATTTTATTTTGAAAACTCTGATGTATTTGAATTAGTGTTGTAGCAATTACTTGATCCAAATCGTAATCCATCTTTATTTTGAAAGATTTTATTAAACTATGTATTAGAAACCATTTGAATGAAAAATTTATTATTTCTATTTTTATAAAATTTATTAAATTAAAAATTTAAATTAAGGTGTTATATTTGTTTTTTTTTTGTCGTGATATAAAAAATGTGTCAAAATTTAAACATTTATACCAAATTTTAGAATTTGCTCGAATCTAATTTAAAGCCTAAAAGAATAGCCCAGACTGCAGAATTTATTTTTTTTACAATTTATTTTTTTACAATTTGTCGTGATATAAAATTTATGTTTGTACCCGTATATATGTTTTTTTTTTCTTCATAATTTATATTTTTACAAAGGTACTTGTTAATTTATATTTTTTTAAATTAATAATTTTGACTTTTTTAAAAATTAAAAAATATTAATATTTTTTTAACTAAATTACTAATTTTATTATTTATTAATATAAAATTAACAGTAATAAATTATTTCAGGTAAAGAATACCAAACTTTCTTGATTATAAAGAAAATAATAGATTTTACCTTCTAAAAATATCTTTATTGCGAAGGTAAAAGTTACAGTATCCAATTGAGAAAGTTTGATATTTTTTTACATATAAAATAATTTTGATCATTAATTTCATATTAATAGATAATAAAATTAGTGATTTAGTTTAAAAAATATTAATACCTTTTTATTTTTAAGATATAAAAAATAATATAACTGGAGATACCTTCTTGAGTTTACGAGTATGATTGACACATTTAAATTATCTCTCCTTCGGTTCCTTGTTCGGCTTTATTCCAAAAACATCTCCATCGGCAAACTATTCTTAATTTTTCACCAATATTTTTATGTGATCCTTCAATTTAGTTTAGATATTTATCAATTTCATATAGTTTCTTGTTACCTCTGCCGACAAAATGGGTTTGAATAGGCGAGAATCTTGCCATCAATGACTTCTGGAAATTAATTTTCAGAAATATATTTAATAAGTTTTTGAAAACTAAATTTTGGAATTAGGAATATAGGATACTTTCCGAAGTTAAATTCCAAAAGCTTTGAAACCAAACTTTTAGAATTTAAATTTCGAAAGCCTATAATACGTGGTTTCGTAA